CCCATCCCCATCATCCCCATCCCCATCCCCATCCCCATCCCCATCCCCATCCCCATCCCCATCCCCATCCCCATCCCCATCCATCCCCATCCCCCCATCCCCCCCCTGCCACCCATTCCTCCCATTCACTCCCTCCCTCCCTCTGTCGTCATCGTCCCATCCATCCGCCTCACGTTCCATCACTCTGCGACCTACACCCCTCGCCCACCACACCCACACCCACCACACCCACCCACCCACCTACCCCCTACCCCCTACCCCCTACCCCTACCCCCTACTCCTCCCTCCCCTTCAACTATGTCGTCATCATCCGCTGCCGCACCCACCTTTACCTGCATTGCTTGCCGTGTGGGCTTCACCAGCTCTGCGGCGCAACGTTCGCACTATCGCACCGAGTGGCACCGATACAACCTCCAGCGGAAGGCCCTTGCTATGCCCTGTGTCTCACTTGCTGTCTTTCGTTCTCGTCAAGCCAATGCTCAAGCTGAGGCTGCTGCTGCTGCTGAACAAGCGGCTTACACTGGTGAGTGTACCATCTGCAAGAAGAAGTACGCATCAGAGGCTGCTTATCATCAGCACATCTCCTCCAAGAAGCACAAGGCAAAGGCCGCAGCCGTGGCTGCTCGCGGGGAAAACCCTGGAAAGCTCGACTCGCCGTCCCCGGCGATGGCGCCTGCTGCTGCCGTTTCGCCAAAGGCAGGGAAGGATGGCCCCGTGGCCATGGACACTAGCAACGCCGCCGATGCTCCCGATGCTGCTGGCCCAGGGGCGAGTGAGTCCTCCCCCGCGCCGCGCGCGAGGCACTGGCCTGGCGCTCGTCCTGTTGAGGCTAGCGACGAGGAACTCATTCGTGAGTTTGTGATCCGGTACGTGGCTTCGTTCTCGTTTGACGCCGAGGACGAGGTCGAGTCGCTGGTCTCCTTTGCCCTCGGCCACGGCGAGATTCTCGACGACGACGCCTGCCTCTTCTGCGAGCACCTCGAGCCGGACGTCGAGGCACGACTGGAGCATATGCGGCTCGAGCACGGGTTCTTTGTGCCGGACGCCGAGTACTGCGTCGACGTCCCAGGTCTGCTCCGCTACCTCGGGCGCAAGATCTCGCTGCTCTGCCTCTGCCTTCACTGCGACGGCTCGGGCAAGGCGTTCACCTCGGTCCGCGCAGTGCAGGCGCACATGCGGGCGCGCGTTCACTGCAAGATGGCGTATACCGGCGTGGAGACCGAGTATGAAGAGTACTTTGACTACGCAAAGGCGTACTACGCCCAGCAGCTCGCCCTCCACGGCATCGACCCCTCGCAGCCGCTCACCGAGGCCCAGCTCGAGCTCCTCGAGTCGCCTGTCGAGCCCGCCCGCTACGACCCGGAGACAATGGAGCTTGTCCTGCCCAACGGCAAGGCCCTCGGCCACCGTGCCCTCAACCGCTACTACAAGCAGCAGCCCATCGTCCGCAACAAGTCAGAGTCGCTCATCGCGTCGCAGCGCGCCGCAGAGCACCGCCTTCTCGGCTGGCACGGCGCCCGCCACGTGGAGAAGGTCGGCAAGTCGGCCGGCACCATCGCCAACAACTACGCCCGGCTCTCCTTTGACACCAAACAGGGCGAGCGGAACAACAACAAGAAGCACTTCCGCATGCAGTACTTCTTCTAACATTAAACCCGCTAGTGTTACTCGCCACCCTCGGCGCAGAGCACTGCCGCCGCCTGCTGATCGTAGGTCTCGAGTGCATGGGTCGCGTCGCTCGCAGAAATCGCGCCGTGGTTCCACAGGTTGGTGCAGTGGAGAACGAGCGCGTTGCGGAGGTTGGCGACGACCAGCTCTTGGGCGCACTCCTTGACAAAAACCAAGAGAGCCGGCGCGAGCCGCCCGTCGGAGAGCTGGACCTCAAGCTGCGAAACAAAGGTGTTCCACAGAGCCATAAAGGTCTTCTCCGTCTCGCTCACGTCGCCCAGCTCGCGGAGCGCGGCGGCGCGCTTCTCCATCAGCCAGCGGTTGTCGACCGGCTCGCGCTGAGTGGACCCGACAGCCTCGGGCGGGAGGACCGAGTACTCGGGCATGGTGAAGAACTCTTGCTGGATGGTGGCTGCCACCGGCGGCCGGCGCTCCATCGCCTCCTCAAACTTGCCCATCGACATGGGCGCGACCAGCGCGGCGACCTCAGCGGGCGTCGCGCGGCCGGCGCCTTCCATCAGCATCGAGAACGAGTGCAGCGGCTGGCGGCCGCGCAGTCTGCGCGCAGACCGCGGCCGCCAGAAGGCAAAGCTCTTGCTTGCCGTCGCCTGGGCCACCTCGTCGCGCGTCCGCTTGTCGAGCGCGACAGGCACAACGTGGATGGTGGCGCCGCCCTGATGGCTTCGCTCAAGCTGAAAGCCAAACTCGTCGCCGTGGCCCACCACCACATGCATGTACAGCGCAGGAAAGGCGGCGTGGGCATCGCCGCACAGGGCGCAGGTCAGCGAGTTGACGACTTGCGGCTGCAGAAGCCGCATGCTCTCGTCGAGGTAGAACCGCCACTCGATGGGCGGAATGAGCATAAACGGCGAGGAGACCAGTGCCGGTGCCCTGCGCAGCCCCACCCGCTGCCTACTGCCCACAAGCCGCGTCTGCGTGGTGTGGACCGATTCCGTGGCCCAGTCAAGACGGACAAGGACGGCCGGGGGGGCACGCCCCACATCAGCGCCCGGGCCCTCCAACCGCAAGGCGTACGTCCCACTCTGCAGAAAAGCTCCGCGCTCGGGATCCGCCAAAGGTAGTGCGCCCGACCACCAGCCGTCCTCACTCTCGGCCGTCGCCCTGCTCCGCTTGCGTGACGTCATACCCCGTGTGTTGGCATGCTGAGCCTTCCACCGCTGATCGCTCGGATCAAGCACAAGCAACTTGCTCCTCTCATTGGAGCCTTGCCAGGCGTGACTGGCGTCGGCAGCCTCGGCGGAGCGGTAGATAGAGATGACAAGCTGTGCCCCATCGGCGTCGTCGTTGAGCGAGACCAGGCGGCGAAAGGTGACCGGCTTGGACCGCTTGCCAGACGTCACTCGCGCTGTCCTCGCCAGATTGACCGGAGCGCTATGTTCCTCCTCCACCTGCGTGGTGGCCATCGGCTGGGCGCCGCCTCCGTTTCTGGTCAAAAGGCAGAGCGAGAGTACAGCCACCGGGCCTGGCCCGACCTTGTCTCTCGACTTGGAGCTGGAGCTTCGCTTAAGAGCCCGGGTAGCGCCTGAGCTCGCTTCGGCTGCCAGCTCGCTAGGCGCATCGATGATGCTCACAAGACTCACCGTCACCTTGCCCATCTCATCCAGCCTCGTCACCGTCTCATTCCACTGCCTGGTCGACACATGGCCGCCACCAGCCGCCTCATCCTGCTTGACGCCCTCGACGCCATCACCAGCCGCCGTCGTCTGCCGCTTGCGGACCTCGGTCACATACGACAAGTTACGCTTGAGGAACCGTGGCTGCGGGGTGAGCGGATGGACATAATGAGCAGATGGGGGTGGGCGAGCAGATCGGCGGGCGGACGGGCGGGCGGACGGGCGCGGAGGCGAGGGGGGGGGGGATAGGGCCATAGTGAGTGAGAGTATGCGATTGAGAGGGGGAAAAGTGAACGGTGGTGTTTGTGTACGTACAGAGACCAACTGTCTGAGGTGCAACAGTCTATGCTTTGTGACATGCGGAAGGTAGGCAGCTTCAAAGGTGGCCCTCTGTCGCCCAGCTCGCTCCCCCTGCTCTGCCTCCCATGACTCGCTTGCAATGGTTCCTTCATTGGGATCACGAAAGTCGAACCGCATGTCTGTCCGCTTGGACAGCATTCTTCCCCGCCTTGTTCTCGCCCTTCCTCTCCTTCTCGTAAGCCAAGTGCCCGTCGACGAGCTCGCCTCACTCGCCAGTTGGGTGCAACTAGAGTCGCCTTCGGCCAGGCCGAGGAAGAGGGGGGGGGGGGGGACGGGAGGTGCGTGTCACACTCTTGCTTTTTTTTTTAGGGACTGCAAGCTGGATATCGCCACAGCTGGGTGCCTCCAATCGGGTAGTAGGGGGGGGGGGGGGAGGATGTGTGTGACTGTGTGGGGTACAGGTCGTGAGAAGGAGGGAGGGAGGAGGGAGGAGGGAGCTAGGGCGATGGATGGTGGATGGGGGCGGTTTGATGTTGGGTGGTGGGCATCTCGATGGTGTACACGGGTTATCGGCTGATAATGTGACGTAGAGTGGGTGTATGGAGAATCGAAGGATCGTGTGTTATAGAGAATGTAATGGGCTATCTGTACATGTGCAAAAGATGGAAAGTACGGGCTTGTGGATTGTGAGCCGGTTGTGTGGATAGTTTGCTTGCGATCGACAAGTGATCAGCCAACAGAGCAAAGATGGTGTTCCATGGAACACCATCTTCTCATCGTATTGATCATCTCAGACATACACAAACCAAAAGCCACATCTCTACCATCTTCCAACCACGTGCTATCTATCCATGTGCACGAGGTGTCTTGATGTGTGCTGTATCTCCCAAACGAGACAGATATGCCCGGCCGCCTACCGGCGTTGAGTGAACGGGCGGCAGACGAGCCGATGCCAAAGTCCGAGGCAGGCATCAATCTGCAACACACATAGAAAAGAATAGCCCGTCCGATCACATTGCCAAGGTTTTGCGACGCCATGGTTTACCGCGAGTGCAAGCTCGACGAGCTTCTTCCGACCGAGCGGTAGAGGAATCGGTTGAATGTGATGACAGTCGAGCTCAAGAACATCAACGCATCGACATCCTGCGGTACCGCTCAGTTGGAGAGTTCCTCGCACCCCTTGATGCGGCGCACCAGGCCAAGTCATTCCACCGCGAGCGGTCATCATGGGCAGATCTGAGGCGGGACGGCGAGGTAGCGCTCGACAAGCAGGCTGGAGGCGAGCCTGTGTAGACGCGTTACACTGGGCACAAGCGCCACCGCGCTCGCGGCCATGATGAGAAGGACCATGATCGCGGTGGTATTGCTTGTGGGTACGGACGCCAGCTCGACGACATCATCACCGCCGATGGTCATAGCAGAGGAAGGATGGGCAGGTGAATCCGATTTGTGTGGGAAGAGATGGTGTCGATCGGGCTGATTGTGAGGTAAGGATGGAGTGCCGAGTGCCGAGTTCGGTCAGTCTCTCTCGCCCAAGCTGGGTGAGCAGCATTATTGGGGTGCGGGCACAGGTACGCTCTCGGTACGACGACTACGGCAGACAGTCGACTGTGCGAGAGAGGGAGGCATGACATCACGACGAGCCATGATTGCTGTGCCCTTTGGGGCGGAGCTGTCGTCGTGTGGCTACTGCAAGGCGAAGGATGCTGAGACCGCGTCTGCCGGGCCAAGTCGTCGAAGCGAGGACCATGGTCCCGAGGCAATGGTGGTGGTTGAGGAGGAGTTGGCGAGTGCTGGCGGTGTGCTCGACGGGCACGGGGACGACGGCGACGACGTGGATGATGGGAATGGTGGCAATGGCGGGAACGACGGAAATAGTGGCGGAAATGGCGGAAATGACGGCGATGTGGTCAATGGCAATGATGGACAGAGTGACGATGGGGATGAGGGCGAGGGCGAGAGCAAGCGAATGCAGGATGGGATGTGGCCGGTGACGTGCGAGGCGGAGGACTACCAGGAGCTGATCGATCGCGGGTGGCGGCGCTCGGGGTACTACTGCTACCGCCCGCACGTGACGCCCGACGTGTGCTGCAAGCTGTACACCATCCGAGCACGTGCGGCCGATGTGTTTGCTACACGCTCGCAGCGGAAGAAGATGGCGAGGTTTGTGCGGGGTGTGGCTGGGCCGGCACGTCCTGGAGGTGCGGAGAATGAGGAGGAGGAGGAGGAGGAGGAGGAGGTGTGGCCTCCGCCGCCTGCGCGGGCGGCGTGTCCGTCGCGGCCACGAGCACTGGCGGCTGCCGGGCTGCGGCTCGAGTTTGTGCTGTCGCGGGATGGCGAGGTCCACGGCCCGACGCACGCGCTCTATCGCAAGTACCAGATGGCAGTGCACGGGTCGAAGGAAAATGAGGTGTCGGAGGCGGCATTTGAGCGGTTCCTTGTGTCGTCGCCGATCCGCAGCGATGCCGAGTCGAGCCATCCCGGCTTTGCAGCCCTTTGCGCCGCCTGGCCGCCGCCTTACCTCTCGTTCTGTACGACGCCGCCGACCGGGTATGGCTCGTACCACATGCGGTGGTGGCTGGGCGAGGAGCTGATTGCGGTCTCCGTCCTCGACGTGCTCCCGGCGTGCCTCTCGTCGGTGTACTTTTTCTACGATCCGGACCAGGCGCACCTCTCGCTCGGCGTGGTGTCTGCCGAGGTGGAGATCCTACTGACAGCGGCGCTCTCTGCGCACCTGCCGTCGCTCAAGTACTACTATCTCGGGTACTACGTCGACTCGTGCCCCAAGATGCAGTACAAGGGAGAGTACAAGCCGTTTGAGCTGCTCTGCCCGGCGACACTGACGTGGGTGGGGTCCGAGGCCGCGCTGCCGGTTGTCAAAGCAGCCGAGGCTGGCGAGAGCAGCAGCGAGGCCGGCGAGCCGATCCGGCTGGCAGCAGACGGGGTTGCGAGTGACGATCCGTTGGAGCTAATGGCGCTACCGGCGAAGGTTGTGGCCTCGCAAGTGTTTAGCCGGTACGTGTTAGGGCGGGCGTCGGCGAGGTACGAGGATCTGAGTGTTGCGCTGCGGGCCGCGCTTGCGGCCGAGGCAGAGTCGGGCGAGCTGAGTGAGGCGGAGCTTGCGACGATCGACGAGTATGTGGCGACTAAGGTGCCCGCACTGGCGCATGCTTTCTTCACTGCTGTGGGCCCGCAGGTGTCTTCGGTGACGATGCTCTATCTGCCACCGTCGAGCGTGCTAGAGGGGTAACTAGCCGAGGAGAACGGCGAGGTCGTCTGCTGTGAGGAGGGTGGCGTCGCGGGAGCGGGCCTGGGCCGAGAGCTGGACGTCGCGGAAGAGGGCGGCGATGAGGCGGCCGTCGTCGATCCAGGCCGGGGCAGCGGCGGCGAGCAAAGCGATGTCAAGCTGGAGCTGGCGGACGGCACCGCGCGAGAGCGCGAGCTGACGGACGACCTCGACCCAGGCCTTGGTGAAACGAGCTAGGATGCCGAGCATGACGGATGAGGCGCGGAGTTCGAGGTGGAGGGCGCCGATCTTGAGGGTCTCCTCGAACATGAGGGTCATGGACTCAAAGGCCGAGGCGGCGCGGCGGTGCGAGTCCGAGGCGGCGCGACCGCGGCCGGGGCCGGCGGGCGAGGGGGCGAGCGAGTCGACGAGCTCGCCGTCTGCGGCACGGTCGGCCAGAGTGGGTGCATTGTCGGGAAAGGCGGCAGCGGCGAGGGCAGCGGCAGCAGCGCAGCGCGAGACGACGGCAGCGGCGAGCGGCGAGGGGCCGAGTGGATCGTCGTCGGTGACGAGCCACGGAGCAGCGGCTGGGTCTGCGACGACGGCGAGCCACGGGAGTGAGAGCTCCCAGGCGGTCATGTCGACAAAGCGGGCAGCGAGCGAGGTGGCGGTGGCGCGGAGGTCGTCTGCGAGCGGGCTTGCAGCGAGCATGGCAGCGTGGACCGGGACAGAGAGGACGGCGAGAACGCGGTCGATAAAGGAGGGCAGCAGGTCGTCTGCGAGGGCAGTGGCGAGAGCGGCGAGAGCGGCGAGGGCAGAGGACGAGGCTGCAGCAGCGGCACGGGAGCGGACACCGTCGGCGATGAACAGAAGGGCCTGCTGAATGTTGACCTGAGCGGAGGATGTGATGAGGGCGACGTTGTCGCGGATGCCCGGGTGTGAGGCTCCAAGGAGCGGGCGGAGCGAGGAGAGCGAGGAGGCGAGGGCGGCGGAGATGGAGGCGAGGGCGGAGTCGAGGGCCGGGCGGTAGGCATCCGGGTCTGTGAGCGGGACGAGTGAGCGTGCGGCGGCGTCGACGGCGTTGAGGAGCGAGGCACGGAGCTTGGAAAAGACGCCGTCCAGGTGGGCGTGGAGTGCCTTTGAGAAGACTTCGTCGACGCGGTCGTCGATGGCGGCTTCGGGGAGGCGGCGGGCGAGGACGGCCATGTCGTCTGCGATCTTGTCGAGGGCCTCGAGAAGGACGCCTGTGGGCACATATTGGGAGATGAGGGCCTTGAGTGTGGTGAAGAAGGGGACAAGGACGGAGCGTGCGACGTGGACGAGGCCGTGCGAGCCTGCACCTGCGGCATTGTGCTTGTGGAGGAAGAGGGCGCGGTAGGCTGCGGCAAACTCGAGGAGTGGAGGAAGGAAGCCCGAGTGGAGGGTGTCGAGGGCGTCGGGCAGCGGGTAGGCGGCGAGTGGCGGCGGGTCGCCGGGTTCACGGGTAGGAATGTCGGGGAGAGAGGCGATGAGGCGTTCGAGGCGGGCGTCGAGGGCCTCCTTTTGCTTCTCGAGGTATGAGGCGCGGAGGTTGTCGACAGACTCGCCCATGTCCATGAGCATGTCCATGACGGAGCCAAGCTCGTCCATGGAGGAAGCGCGTGCGAGTTGAGCGCGGAGTGCGGACTTTGTCTCCTCGGCGAGGAGCCGCATGGCGGCGAGGACGGCGCCGATGCGCGGCATGTCAGCGTGGGCCTCGAGGACGGGCATGTAGCGGACAAAGCTGGAGATGGCGGAGGCGTATGCGGCGAGGTCGAGGGCCTTGCGAACGCGGGCCGGGAGACGAAGGAGAAAGACGAGCTTTGCAAGGCCGTCTGAGGCTGTGGCCAGCGAGTGGATGTCTGCGCGGTTTGGGGCGAGCTGTGCGTCGATGGCGTTTGAGAGGCCGTCGATGTGGTCCATCTTTTCCTGCAAGCCGGCCAGCTCTGTGTCCATTGACTCCATCTTGCCCTTGAGCTCTTGCACGGTATCTGTGGCGGTGATGAACTTTGTGTAGTTCTCGTTGACCAGTTCTTGCATGCTTGCGTCGAGTTCGGATACCTCTGCGCGGTTTTCGGAAAGGGTGCGTGTGTGAGTGTGGGAGGTGTGTGTGTGTGTGTGTGTGTGGGCGTGCTTGGCCGCAGCCATGGCGATGACGATGACAGTGGCCATGGCGATGACTGCGATGACAGTGGCCATGGCGATGACTGCGATGACAGTGGCCATGGCGATGACTGCGATGACGGTGGCCATGGCGATGACGATGACAGTGGCCATGGCGATGACTGCGATGACAGTGGCCATGGCGATGACTGCGATGACAGTGGCCATGGCGATGACGATGACGATGAAAGTGGCTATCCCCAATACCTCCCTCCCCCCCCCTTCCCCCTACCCCCCTGTCCCCTTGCCCATACCCCCCGCTGCTGCGACCGTGAGCACGTACCTGAACGAACAGCATCATTCTTGTCCAGCAGCCTGTCCAGAGTCATGGTGTTGAGCAAGGAGGTGACATACTGCTTAGCATCAAAGGCCTTGGCATCGACATCAAGTGGGTCACCCCCCCGTCCACCATGTCCATCCCCACCACCACCATCACCTCGGTCTCCTTCTCCAACACCATAATACGACGAAAGAAGGCGGTTCACACGACGCGGTCCACGCCGTTCTCCTCCTCCGCGGCTCTCACGTGACATGCCAAGCACAGTCGTCTCTGTCGTCTACTTGCGTTGGGGGGGGGGGGGGGAGGGGAAGAGGAGAGAGGC